CTTGGCATGTGCTGGAACCTGCTGGAAGGATTGGATGGTCAGGTGACCTGCTGTGCATGGCTGTGCATGACCTCATATGACCTGATCACCTGACTAGGCTGAGTAAGCAAGATGTTCTAGCAGGTTCCACCACAGAGGTATAAATATAAGGCCTACTCTGCCTTGGGACTGTCTCTTCAGACTTGGTCTCTTAGGATCATCCACAGGTACCTATACTGTAAATAGGTCTCAGTCATCAGGTCTACTCCACTTCCTTGTTGCCTGCTTAGACTCTTGGCACTCTTAGGTGAGCAGACTTAGTCAGCCTGTGTTGCCCTAACACATACACAATTGCCTCTCATTGCAGAATGGGATACCAGTTGTCCATCTCTAAGGTTGCTGGAATGCATGTTGTGTGGATAGCATGGGATGAGAAGTTCTGAGTTGGGGATCTCTTTAAATTGGACCATTTTCATTTCTTGTTTGAAAAATTCTCCTGAGCAAGAACAGCATACTTTGGTGCATATAGCTTCATTTGACATTGAAAGTATAAAGTCTTTTTTGCATTCATATATTGTTTCGGTATCAGTTGTGGTCAAGAAATGTTTGAGGATGGGTTCTGGGTTTGAGGGCAGGTCAATGATATCCATGGAGGAATTCTCAAAGAAGCACTTCTTTTCAGATTGTGCACTGGATTGATCTGATATTCATTTTTGTATTACTGATATTTCTGCTGCCCTTTCTTGCAAAACATTGTGGATTTCTCTTGGTGTGTTTGAGAGTTCTTCAAGCATGATGTTCTTGCTTCTTTGAGCTGCTCAGCTGAATCTGATGTTTGGGATGGCAGATAATATCTCTCTCATTGACATCCTGTGGATGACATTCTCCATCTGGTATGTCTCTTTCTCTGGGTCTGTCATTTCCACCCTGGAATAGGTTATAAGCTATATTGAATATATGCCTGCAGTACTTACAGTCTTTCTTGCTGACCTTGGTAGTTGTCTTGTTTCTATCTGGCGCCTCTTTCTTACATTTAATTCAGCCCCTTCTACACCAGATTACTCTTGGAAGAGGCAGTGAACTGCAATCCAACATTGGGATTCTTGTCAGTTTTGGGTTGTTACTGATCCTTTCATGAAGCATTGATAATTGTCAAAGCAGCATGGTGATTTGCAGATCTTTTCATCAATACCACCTTGTATTCCTTGATGCTGGTAAGACCATGTCACATGGTGCTCTTTGCATTTATTTGTTGTTACTCTCAATCCTGTTGATGGTGGGCATATTATTTAAAATTTGATTCCTTATCTACTGTCTCTGCTCTATCTCCTCAGTGGTCAATCTTTCTATGTTCCCCTTTTTTTGTATTGTCCCTTCAAGATGATATTCAGTATACTCCAATGATATCATTCCTCTTGTTTGCATTGGGGGTACTTTCTCTGAAGGAAAATGGCATGATGATAGATTCCATGGTATAATTATCTTCCTCTCTATTCAGTTTTCATGTCTGCAGCTTGGTGGAAATTGCATTGAATTCCTTCCTACAACAATTTTCCCTGCTAACACATGTGTGTGTTTCCACTTTATATATTATGCCAAACAATTGGATTCCTATCTCCATTATCGACTCATTCACATACTTATCCAGGTAGTATAAATATACTCATGGTCATATGCTCCTTGGGGGTATGGGTATGGTAACTGGTTTGTTACGTGAGGATCAGATACCTTAATCCTCATCTTCATTCACTGCCATCATCTAACCTCATGGCAGATATCGAAGAAACATTTATTTTGGCTGAAGGACACATTATTTGGTACTTGATTATGTACATGATGACGTAGTATTTGGCCAAATATCTTTTGTGTATGAGGAATGTTCATTCAAGTGGATATCTTCTTTCCAAATAGAACATTGATACTGGTTCTCTCAAAGTATCTTAGCCTGACAGACACTACTTGTTGCTTCTGTCTCTCTCTTTTTTATTTCTCACTCTCTCTCATCCATTTAGTGTCCTTTTTCCTATTTATACCCTGACTGTTAGTGATGGTCCTCAGCATCCAACCTGCCTGAGCCCCTGTATTGGTCAATATCCTTTCCATCCTCTTCTTCACTCAAATCCTCCACAGTCTATGGCTGGTGGTGGCAGAAAACCTTGCTCCAGCCCTCCCATCTCCGAGGAGATGACTTTGACACCTGTATCCCAAAAGCCTGATGTAATTCACGCTACTATCAATTTGCATGTCCCTGCTAGGGATCACTTGTCGACCAAAGTCAGTACCAAAAGTGATGATGGTGAGCTTCAAGTTCTTCCTCCTTTGCCCAATATGTTGTCCTCGATGTCTGTCTCACCCAGCTGTGAGGCTGCACCTGAAGTCACTTCCTCTGAGGCTATCTATTCTAGAACTCCTCCCTGTGGATGTTCCATTATTGACTCCCTTTGAGATTGGCTAGACACCAGTTACAGTCTTGCCAAGGAAGAAGATCTTTCTGTCCTTGAGTGGGGGAATGTTGAGGGCTGTGGTACTTGTCTGTGTGATGCTGATGGTATGGCTCATCTTACTGTGATCAGCATGATTTCCATGTCTTGGTTTGCTTTGATACCTGATGGCAGTTGGGAGCCCAGAAACTCCAAGTCACCTTCTCTTCAAAAACACAAAGCTTTTGCATACCTTGTCAGTCTGGTTGAGGAGCCTTTCAGTACCAATTGGGACATAGCAATGAAGAACTTTGAAGTGCTGGAGCACAAGGCTTGCAAGCAGAATTATGAATTGCTTTTGGCTCATAAGCAAGCTGGCTTATGCTTTTCATGGCTGTTGTTCGAGGTATGTATGCCTCTGTTGATGTTTGTTGCTTGATTTCATTTGTGTGTTTGTGCAGAAGGTACCCACCAATACTGATGTGTCTTTTACTGCTGGAAAATCTGTTTGTCCTCTTGGTGAATATTATTCATGCTGTTTCTGTCTTGTTGACTGATTTGTCCTCAGATGCTGTTGATGTTGAGGCTTGCTGGCATGGCTGGATTGTTCATCCACTGGCAGATTGGCATTTTCACAACATGAAGGACACTCACTGTCCCATTCTGCTTCCTGCTTGGAGCAAGACTGGCAAACTCATTCCTCCTACCCAATGGTCTGATTTGCTAAAGGGAGCTATTGTGAAAGGAAAGTTTATAGCATGGGTTTATCATTTCCAGGACAAACAGCAGACCATGGTGGCACTTGAACCAGTCAATCTCATTATTATTTTGGATCCTGTTGTCAGAAGTTCTTCTCCCATCAAGAATCGAGATCTCACTAAAGGCCTGGTCATCTTGCCTTGGAGGAAGTAGTTCTTTGGTGTCTGTTACCACTGATACTGGTATGTACAGGTCTGGTTCAACCCATTCCTGGGTGTGTAAAGGTCTCTTGATTGGTTTCTTGAAATCAATATCTTTTGCATGCTGTCTTTACTCAGTCCCACTGGTGTTACATATTTTGTTTATATGGTCAACCATCTTAGTTTGCTCTTCCTGTCTGATCATATGTCCTAAGTATTTGGATCAGAACCTCCTTCTGCTCTATTCCATCTCTGTCACACTTCCTAATCTGTCTTCATATGTTTCCATCTGGTTTTAGTCATCCATCCTCAGGTGTTCCCTGTCTATCTTAGAGATCCACACCCCCATTTGCAATGCATGGTTCAACTGCTTTACTGCTCTGTCATGAAGTGCATCCACATTCAGAACCTGGTTACTTCAGTAGTCCAGAAATGATTCCCAAACTTTTTGTGTTAATGCAGGTATTTGTTCACACAAATTATGGTCTGTTGTATGTATCAGCCATGTGATACATTGTCCAGTGTAAATGATTACCTGCAGCCCTTGGTGTGATCTGCTTGTCAGGTTCCATCCTTTTGATTAGAGGTATATAGGGAATGGGTTTCTTCTTGTTTGTGTGATTTACATAGTGGACTTGAAGTGGAAAGGCATCTTCCATTTCTTGGATGCCAAACTGCTTCATTTCCACTAGCAGTTTTAGCCTGACTTCAAACATCTAGTTGTTCCATATGTAAGAATGATGTGTGGTGTATCTGATACTCACTGCTTGCACTGCCACAATAATCTCCTTCTTCCCTGTTTTGTCTCCTGTGATCTTGTAATCAAACCTGTGGCTGGCCTCTTTTACCCAATTCTCCCCCATCGCCTTTTTGAATTCATCGGATGGAGACATCAAAATCGTATATGGCTTGGGCAGCATATCAATGAGTGAACCTGTTATATGTGTGTGAGATGAATCTTGGCTTTACCCTTTTGATGTAGCCCACTTTATACAAATCCTTCCAGAATATGAGTACCAGTTGAGGAACAATGGTGAATGATTATCATGAGTGTAATGAGTAGGGAGGGGGCTGACTAATTTGCAAGGTGAAGTAAGGGAATTCCATTGGATTCAAGGTCTGCTTCCAAGAGGTGTTGTGGTGTGTCTCCTATCTTCCACCTTGTTAGAATGTACTCAGACAACTGGAGACTGCTCAGCATGTATTGTCTCAAGTCAGAATTCATGGAGCTTAGACATACATGTGCCCAAAGTAAGGTGGATTGGAGTTGATGAGAATTAGAAGAGGTTTTACTGCTCCGGGTGCATATCTGCTTCCAGGATGAAGTTTGGTATATGCTTATGGTTTGATCAGGAACTGGCTAAATTTGCTCTTCATCTTATGCCAGATCTTTATCCACTCATTAACAAGGGTATAATTGACTTAGTCCAGGTGGATGAAGATGACACTTGGGCAGAGGACATTGCTGCTGAGTATGAATCCTGGCACCAATCAGATGGCAATGAACCTTCTCCCCCTCCTACTTGTATTCAACAGTCTACCCTCCTTTCTGGCCACCTTGTTTTGACCATTCCTAAAGAAGCATTGCCCAGAGAGTCCTCTGTTATTGTTGATTGTGAGACTGAGTCTATCAGGGGTAATCCCTCTGATCCGGGAGCATGTTGTCAATCAATCCTGAGTAGTGTTTCACCAGACATTGGTCCATTGGGGAGTCAATCATCAAGTATTGGTCATCCAATGGTTGCAAGAAATGTGGGTGTATGTTTGCACTAATATCAACTTCTCATCATTTGTTGTAGAAAGATGTTGGTATTGAGCATGACCCAGATACATTGGACCATAGAGTGGATGAAGTGGGCCCAAAAAAATCTCATCTACACATTTGGCTCTTCATCTATCCATCAAAACTTTACTGATTATGATTAGTCTCCCAACACTTCTTCTGTTGCCATCCCGGTGCATGGCTTCTGATCAGCAATTGAATGTGAACCAACTTCTCTCATCTCAAGTTCTCATTTCACCTGCCAAAAACTTTGCATACAACAATCATCTACAAATCAGGGAATCCATCCAAAATGAAGGCATCAGATATGCATTGGTTAAACATGCTGATATATTGGTTGACAAATTACATGCTAACAGATCAGTTGATAACATGGATGCCATGCATGGCAATGCTAAGGACCAACACCATATTGAGACAAAACTGATAATCCTTGTTCACAGATCATTCTCCTCCTCATCAGATCATCTCTCCCTTCTTCCACTCTCCTCATAATTGTGAAAGCGGATTACTTTCCTCAGACAACAGTGGCAATGACACTTTGAATAAGTCAGTGAGTATCTACAATTTTCAAGTTGGTGCATTCACTAATCAAGTTTATTATGCATTCTGTCAGGGTGAAGATCACAATGTTGATGGAGATGTTATGGATGACAATGAACATCCCTCACACAAGATTGAATTTGACCATACCAGTGATGAAGCTTGTAGACAATGTCTCCTCTGGTCCTGGGGTATTTCCGTTTTTGCTCATGGCAACTTTCATGAGCATTTCAAGCTCACAACTATTGTGGGTGCTTTCCCAGACTTGTCAGATGACACTGTGGAGTACATGAATGAGTGACTGAGGTTGATCCATGGATGGCAAGATTGTCCAAATAATGAAGCATGTGAGTTGGCTCATTTCTGGCAAATATAGTTCTCAGTAGTGTAAACAGTTCACATCATCTACAAAGGCATGATTCAGCCACTGTATAAGAAGATATGGTACATTATCAGAAATCCGGTTGTTCAAGGAGATTTAGTTGCTTGGTGGAGTTTTGATTGTGTGAGATCAATCTCCTTGCCACTGCTGCTTATGCTATAGCTGTGTTGGAGTAGTTTCCATGGATGATTGTGTGATGTGTATGATCATGATAGATGTCAGATGCTCAAGTCCTTCTTCTGTTGATATATCATGATCAATTACTGCACAGATTAATTCATGGCATATCATATGTAGTAATATTACTGGTATCCAGTACATGTATTTGTCTGGTAACATGCATGACTAGTTACTACTGAAATAACGGAAACTGCATACATGAATAATGCATAAAATGCAGACACTCTCATATGTTGTCATCCACATTCTCCTTCCTATTTCGCTTTGTCCTGCAGCTTTCTGCCATGGATAACAGCCAGGTCCTCCAAATTGTCAAATAGGGTTCCGAATTTGATCTCTGGATGTTTCCCCTTCAAGAGTATCATTCCATCTTCCATTTTCCATATGATGGAGAGAGGATCATTCTTGTTGTACCCTGCTAATTGTCATCAGAATCTGAATACAAAACATATTTCCCTTCTGTACCAGTTCTGATGCCAGTTGAAGATGAACCCATTTTACCCTCTTTACTTGTCTGGGATCGAGTGTGTGGTGCACTGTAACAAATTTTGGTCTCCTCAGGACTCTTTGTTGTCATCCAGATAAAGTTGTCCTTTGATTCCTCATTCTTGTTCTCCATGCCAGACTTGTTAGTGTTGGAATGCATGCGTTTTGTGCTCCTATTTGTGCCAGCAGATGAGAGTCTACTGTGGGTCAAAGCAGGTTTCTTATCCTCTTCAGTTTTGGTGAGATAATCTCTGATGTTTGATGACCTTGTCCTGATGATCCTCTTGCTGGTTTGGGTGTTGTTTGCAGCATTGGTTTTATTGCCTCTTTCGATTTGAACCTTGATGTTCTTGGTTGTATTGAGTTTGTTGCTGTCTATGTCTGCAGTTGGTTCCTTCTTCCCCGATTTGACTGGGGATTCACATTTGATTTGCCCAAGCATGATAAGGATGCTGCCAGCAGATTTGCTTCTTGATTTGATAGTACCAATCTTCCCTTTAGGTGTGCAATGGTTTTTCTCATTGTTGATTTGTGCCTTTATCACCTCCAAAGCTGCTTCTCTTGCCTGCAGCTCTTTCTTCATCAGCTTGTCAAACATAGCAATCATTTCCCTTGTTGTCTTGCCCATTTTTTTGTTCTTCCATGTATGTGGTTCATAGCAATGTATCCACAAATTTGCCTTGGAATCCATGTCTTTGCCCCCTGCCATGATGACAGCCTCTGCCTGTTTGTAATCTGAAAGTGTCAGAATGTAATAAATAAATAGGATAGAACTTTCTTACCTTTGGTGAAACCACACTGCCTGTTTGAAGGACTGGACCTGCACATAGTGCAGGTGAACCTATCTTGGTGTGTTGTCTTGATTGGACCTCCACACTGGGTATGATTCTTTTGACCAACTCCAGTGGCTTTGTCATGTGTGTATTGCAAATTGCAATGAGGGCACTAAGCATATTCTCAATATTGGGAGTCTTCTTGAACTTCATTGAACTGGTCCATCTTGCCACCAAGCATCATGTAGATTGCATACTGAGAGCTGGCCTTTTCTGTTGACTCCTGTCCCAGAACTTCTTTCAAGGTATTGGGAACATCTTTCCATTTTTCTGGATGTTTGTCGAGTATTTGACAACATGTTGCTATATACAAATCAGATGAATGTTTGTCCAATGTCTATCAATATAAATATGACTTACTCAGATGAAGGGGGTCATGTTATTTGTGAGATCTTTCCATTTCTCATTTTGCTTCTTTGTGAGACCATGTTAGGGCAACACAGGCTGACTAAGTCTGCTCACCTAAGAGTGCCAAGAGTCTAAGCAGGCAACAAGGAAGTGGAGTAGACCTGATGACTAAGACCTATCTACAGTATAGGTACCTGTGGATGATCCTAAGAGACCAAGTCTGAAGAGACAGTCCCAGGCAGAGTAGGCCTTATATTTATACCTCTGTGGTGGAACCTGCTAGAACATCTTGCTTACTCAGCCTAGTCAGGTGATCAGGTCATATGACCAAGGATGAGGTCATATGAGGTCATGCACAGCCATGCACAGCAGGTCACCTGACCATCCAATCCTTCCAGCAGGTTCCAGCACATGCCAAGGTATACCAGCTACTTCCATGTCATAAAGGCTTAGTCATGTCTCTTGACCAAGCAATGAGCTGGTGCCCTGACA